GAGTTCCCGTTAGCCGGTAATTATCGGACTATGACCGGTATAAATATGCTGAAGACCGGCAAATCTAAATCTCTCCGGTCAAAATGTCCGGTCAAAATAATTTCCCCTTAGCGCAATAACGCATCAGTTGCGCCACTTGTGACAGACAAGAATAGTATGTGACAGACAAAAGAGTATGTGACAGACAAGAATAGTCAATTATAATGCCTAACACTTAATGTGGAGAAAGAGATGTCCTGTACAGTATGGGTTGATTGTGCGATGATCTGTTGGTAATGCCTCGGGGTTCCGGTGGGCATGTAAACAAATGCATAATGCTGCGTTATACTTTGTGGCCTCGCCCGGTTGCATAGCAACGCTTATTGTTTAGGTGTCTTTTAATCAGCAGGTAGTCATATCATTAGCTAGAACTAGCTGGATCTGATCGATATGGACACAAACGCGAGTAAAGTCTAATCTGACGGAAGAGAGAGATCAGCTGCTGCTGACGAGTCGACTTGCAGCTCTGCATGATCACATGCAGCGGTGAGCGGACAAAACACACTCTTCAGGTTAGAATATCACACGTAGCTATTTTAATTGCCTCTCAAACTACCTAAACTAGTTATAGATATGTTTAGTTTTACTGTCGGGTCCCTCATTACTGGATCCGCGAGCTGCATGATACTGACGGGCTGTCAGGAGAGGGAGAGAGCGCTCCGTTTATTATTCCCGTGTTATTGTAAATTACTGTTCACTTTTGAATAGTTAATCTACTATAATTAGTTTGTTTAATATCGAATCATATCAATTTGTTTTAAAGCTCAATAAATAACAAAAAGACCTGACCGGCACTTTTCTAATTTGTCCGGAAGATTTCAACTTTAACGGACATTTTGACCGGCAAAAGAATATTCTAATGGGAACTCTGGTGAAGAGATGTGCATATATGACCAATTTAAAGCTCTATGAAAACTACATCAGTAATCATTACCATGTGGAGAGCAAACAAATGTCACTTCTCAAGGCTTTTTAACACAGTTGGTCATAATGTGGACTGTGCTGTGTGCTGAAATCAGGTCTATTAAGTGTGGTCCAGTGTGTAGAATGCAACCAACGGATCACTCCTGCTCTCAACCTTGCCTTTCCAAAAGTGTCGGAGAACCTTGGGCAAGGATTGCCACATCAGTCGACAGAGCTTTACATCCAGACTGCAGAACTGTAATGCATTCAGTAAATGTAACCCGCAGCTATCCTCAGCTCTCTGATTTAGTTCTGAAAAACACTTGATGACCGATCTCTGTTTGTCTGTAGAGATCCTAGATGTTGCTAGACACATTTTGACAAAAACATTCTGAATCTTTCAATCCAGTCCTCTCTCTTACTTATTGCCTGCTTGAAAAAGATGTGCAAAAGTCACATTTCCCATAATATCATGTACTGAAAGCATAGGTTTGTCTGTATATGTTCCCATGATTTAGGTAAAGTCATATAAACAGGTTAAAGAATGACCACAAATTGAGCCATGTTGACATAGTCTGCATACATACTTTATTTTTTAAGTACAAACTCGCACAGCACCATCAGATCACTTCTATACTGCACTCCCTACTCCACATCAGTGGGATTACGTGTTTTAACACAACTTACAGTAAACATTCTTTTCACTGGTGCAATGAGCTCTCAGCCATACTCCTTCACAACAATAGAGCTCTTTTAGTTGTTTCTCCCTCCCTGTGCTCTCTTGGCATATTAACAGAGTTCTGTTTTTCAGACACATCCGGTGCTTGTTTATGGATCAACATTTTTCTTTCCTATGCAGTTTTTGTATGGCTACCAATATCTTTGCCAAGACTCTGGGACTCCATCGTTGTGTGAGAAGAGACAGGAAAGCTCATTATCCACAATGCCTTCGGTTTCAAGTTTTTGACATAAGAGCTAGTAGATAAAAGCCACCATGGTTGCAGAATAACGAAGTGGCAATACATAAGAATTCAGCTCACTTGCAGAGGAGATTGGCAGCACAAAATGACAGTATATCCACTCCTGAAGAATGGAGTGTCTTCATTCTTGATCCTCTTGTGTGAGCTATTGCTGAGTCAGTGTCGGGTCTCTGCTGCTTTGTGAGCGGTATTTTGGGCTCAGTTTTCTAGATTGTGCACTCTGTTTGTACCGCATGCCTTCCAAACACATCCACACACCTTCAATCCCCAACCACCATTACCACCCTGTGTAGTTGTATATAAATAGATTTCACACTGAGAACCACTGGCTTGGAAATTAATTCTGGTCATGCGAGAATCTGCCACAGTCTATCTAATAAACATACACAGTGCTGCATGCTGAGATTCTATATCCATTTATTATACAAGCACACCCCGTCAAATTGGTTTCATTATGAGTATTCCAATTTCATAGCCATCTATCTATCTATCCATCTATCTGTTAGGGCTGTACAAGGGCGTGGAATCAAATGCACGATGCAGAGACAAACAAAGTATCAAAATAAAGTGTTTTAATGTAGACAGGTCATAACACACTGAATACATAAAGCAACAAAACAAAAACTACTAATACACTAATCTAACTCTATGGACGATAACTCTATGGACAATGACAAAAGGATCTTACGCTGGAAGGCTTGGAACACACAAGACAATCTGGCAACGAGACAGGGGAAGACGAGAACTATATATACTAGACAGACAACACCAGGTGAAGACAATTAGACAATCACAACCGTGGGAAAACAGACAAGGCAGGAAACGTACTTTAGACACATGAGGGTAGACAAGACTATCAAAATAAAACAGGAACCTATCTAAACACATAACATGAAACCTAAACTAGGGAACAATCTTAGCAGAGCCGTCTACGCACAACACTATCCATCTATCTATATGTCTATCCATCTATCCATCTATCTATATGTCTATCCATCTATCCATCTATCCATCTATCTATCTGCCTATCCATCTATCCATCCATCCATCTATCTATCTGCCTATCCATCTGTCCATCTATCTATCTGTCTATCCATCTATCCATCTATCTATCTGCCTATCCATCTATCCATCCATCCATCTATCCATCTATCCATCTATCTATCTGCCTATCCATCTGTCCATCTATCTATCTGTCTATCCATCTATCCATCCATCTATCCATCTGCCTATCCATCTATCCATCTATCTATCTGTCTATCCATCTATACATCTATACATCCATCCATCTATCCATCTATCCATCTATCTGTCTATCCATCTATCCATCCATCTATCTATCCATCTATCCATCTATCCATCTATCCATCCATCTATCTATCTGTCTATCCATCTATCCATCTATCTGTCTATCCATCTATCCATCCATCTATCTATCTGTCTATCCATCTATCCATCTATCCATCTATCCATCCATCTATCTATCTGTCTATCCATCTATCCATCCATCCATCTATCCATCTATCCATCTATCTATCCATCTATCCATCTATCCATCTATCCATCTATCCATCTATCCATCCATCTATCTATCTGTCTATCCATCTATCCATCCATCCATCTATCCATCTGCCTATCCATCTATCCTCTATCCATCTATCCATCTATCCATCTATCCATCTATCCATCTATCCATCTATCCATCTATCCATCCATCTATCTATCTGTCTATCCATCTATCCATCCATCCATCTATCTATCCATCTATCCATATATCCATCTATCTATCCATCTATCCATCTATCCATCCATCTATCTATCTGTCTATCCATCTATCCATCCATCCATCTATCCATCTGCCTATCCATCTATCCATCTATCTATCTGTCTATCCGTCTATCCATCTATCCATCTATCTATCCATCTATCCATCTATCCATCTATCCATCTATCCATCTATCTATCCATCTATCCATCTATCTATCTGTCTATCCATCTATCCATCTATCCATCTATCCATCTATCCATCTATCTATCCATCTATCCATTCATCTATCCATCTATCCATCTATCCATCTATCCATCTATCCATCTATCCATCTATCCATCTATCCATCTATCCATCTATCCATCTATCCATCTATCCATCTATCCATCTATCCATCTATCCATCTATCCATCTATCCATCTATCCATCTATCCATCCATCCATCTATCCATCCATCCATCTATCCATCTATCTATCTGTCTATCCATCTATCCATCTATCCATCTATCCATCTATCCATCTATCCATCTATCCATCTATCTATCCATCTATCCATCCATACAACTATCTTACCTTTATGCAATTATCCATGGCTTGTTGGCTCATTACCAATCTTTAATTTAAATAACTTTACTTAATTTCATCCTGATTATTCAAACACTATTACACCCGACAGAATACCGTATCTGATTATAACTTATTTGCAATTACAATTTGTTCACGTCTTACTAAGAATACATTTCCAACAATTTATTTATTTACTACAATATTAGAGTACAGCATACAGGTATTTCAATGTTTCTTTGTTGATCGGAGTGGACATGTTTGTCGGATTCACTCCCTCCAGCTAATATGCCAGTCATGGTGTTTTGCTGCTTCTGCCTTTGGCACTGTTGGCTAACTACAAAGCACTGACATGTGCATTGAGCCAACAAATCTGTCTGTCTTCCGGGAAGTAGCTCTAACTGCGTTGGTGTGGTGCAAATGATGAATGGATGACTGGGAATAGACCAATATTTAATTTCCTGCTACCATGTCAATATAAATGGATCAATGAGCTGTGCATTCTTCTATTTTAGAATGCAGGGAAGGTAATCAGGAGTTCAGTAGAAAACCTAATGGCATTACATCTTCTACTCAGGGTTAAACTTGAAAGATATTATTCTAAATAAACCACCATCTTATCTTACCATAGGCTGCAAAAAGCCTTCAGCTATATACAGTGTATTAATATGTACAGTGTGTGTGTGCTCTGTTTGTATTCTTTGTGGACACAGTGTAAGTACTTGCCTCCATTTTTCTATTTCCAGCCAGGAAGTATGACAGCGGTGAATATCTTAACATCACCGGTATCACAAGGGACCAGGCTGGAGACTACGAATGCAGCGCTTTAAATGACATCGCCTCTCCTGACACCAAAACAATGAAAGTCACAGTCAACTGTAAGTGTATCTCTTTCTTCTTCCTTACTCTGTTTTGTCCACGCTGGCCTTGCAGACACATGAAAGACAGCGGGGTACCAGTTTTTTACCAATGATACCAGTGTCATGTACCTGGCGGTGCACTTCAAGAGAGTACACCTTCTAGAAGTTTGAAAAAGTAGAAAGCTAGGGCTTGAGGTTTCTCAATATTTAATGTGAGAATTCCCTTTTTGTCCGTGCATGTGGGTGATTAATTCACACTAAAGAAAGGTCTGACTGTTCTAAGCACTATTCCATTATGCAGGTAATGAGTCTTTCAAAAGAGTGAGGAGACAGTAATGAGGAGCCGGGGCATTAATGAATGATACTGGACTTTAGCTGTGGTGGTCATATGGAAATCACTGCTCGTAAGTATTGAGCAGGAATGGGCGCTTGACAATTATTGCCAGTTCTTCTCCTTTTAAAAGTGCTCATATACTCTACTGTTATTCATGGAGGTTTCTGCATAGATGCCCTGTGCTAAATCTCACTTTTGGCTGAGCTTAACAGGCAGTCGGCTACAGGGACAGGGTGGAGATGAAGAGTGAGGGAAAAAAAGCACTCTCCCTGGCCCAGTTACTGAGTCATATCCTGAAAGCTAATCATGCAGGTTTAAGGAAATAAAGATGGTTTATTTCATACACAGTATTTAAATGAATGAACTCTTCTTTAAAAAAACAAAACAATAATGGCTTAACTTTATTTCCACCTCTGTGAGTTAAGAATTTATTCTGGCTTCGTTATAAAAACCAAGCCATTGTGGCCATTATTTCTCTGTAATGTCTGGCTCTAATGAGCTGGGTCTGAGAGTGGTGGATTTTTCGATGCCAGTTATTTATAGACCTTCTGAGACATGGGTTCAAGGATGACAAGTGCTTTGACAACTGGCAGTGTCTTTATGCTGCAGAACAAAGGAGATATTCACAGTGATTGATAAGGCTTGTCATAGCTGGACGCCGTATTTTAAAGCGAGACAGTAGGGTTATGTGGGTTTAGCTTCCAAACTGAGGGAATTGATTAGGAAGACTTTCCTTGCTGTCAGACAAAGTCACCACAGAGTGAGCACCGGAGCGATACTCTGGATGGGAGTGGGCTGTAGTCAAGTGTTAAGCCCTCTGCCGGAGTTATCTGAGGCTGACAGAGCTACAGAGCTGTTCCTGTCGCTGACCTGCTCCTCGTCTTTTATGATTGAGCAGAATTGTCCAGATATCTTTTTACTCCTTCAATAAGTCCAAATGGTACTATGTTATATATTGACTTCAAAAGGGGTTATAATGTCTGTTTAATATGATTTGTATATAACCCTGTTGCTATAGCAGTGATTTGGTAGTTGAAAAATGTCTAAAGGAGGTCACTGTATGGGGTAACTCTAACATGACTACTGCCTGCTGGACTGAAGAATGGCTCCGTATATCACCCAGTCTTTTGAAACACTTCACGTTCCTTTCTTTGAAATGCTATGTGGTATAATAAATACAATTTGGACAGTTGACTTGGATAAAAAAAAGGAGCAGCAGGATTTCAAGGACATTATATAAATAATGGGTTTTAAAAGGCAGAAGATGTAATCTTAAACCATAATGTAACATTTTACTTATAATCATAAAAGATGGAAATCCTTTACATGTTTAAGTGCATATACAATGTCTTTCTGACACCTTTTTATTCTAAATAGGTCTGCAGTCATTAGATTATCAGCCTAAGTGTAAAAGACAGAGCTCCCTCCTACTAAATTGATAAATGTTTCATAATTCTAGACGTCCTGTTTGAGCTATAGCCAACATGTAACTCGATAGTCAGACTTTTCTGTCCTCACAAGCACCTCACACATGAAAGGTCCCGTGTTTTATTGCTGCTGTTTAGCATTCCAAGTGCTGCGCAACTATGAGACCTGCATAAACAAAACACATCGCTGACATTAAGCTGCACAAAGCACCTTTAGTTGTTAAGACCTTCAAATGGCTCCGAGAGGTAGCTGTTTGAAAAATCTTAACTTTAATATGTCATAGCTTTAAATAGTGTTTAATCTTTCTCTTTAGTGGGTTTGCTTGTATTGTTATGAAAGTTTACTCACATCTCCCACTTGGAGACGTGCGACAATTGCTCATTTACAAAGAAAAGGGGCAGAATAGATAAATTAAAGTTGTCCACTGGAGCGGCTGATATGGCCACAGCAGGCGGAGCTGGATCCAGCTGGTGGCCACTCTTCACTACCTCCTCTCCACCGGTGCAGTCCTCCCTCTGTGAAGAAAAGGGAGAAGCATTTGGACCATATCCCAATCCACTGTATCATTCATGCTTTACTGTCACACATTAAGCTATATTCACCCAGTGCCCAGGAGCAGGGGGTATTGATGAGGGCTCAATATGGCAAAAACGGAATTAAGATAAAGATGTGAGCTGACACAGAAACTCAAACAAGAGAGGATAATTACATAGCAAGAAGCAAGTAATGAACGGTATTAAAAGCAAACTACACTGTATGGGCACATGTTCATACAGATGTTTTACTCAGCAGACAACATCAGCCACTGAACTTCATAAAGGTTCTCCTGGGAGAATCTGCAGGTGTCAGTTTTACTGGCTTGTCAATCAACTACTGGAATTGTGCCAGTTGGAATATTTTTAAATAAATACTCTTTGTTGGAAATAACCAAACAGAATGATGACTGAAAAAATGACTTTAGGTCTCTTCTTGTCATACAGTTCTTCCAGTTTCATTGGAGGTTGCCTAATTATGTAAGAGGCTTTAGTAGTGTACTGTCACTGTATCAGTATCAGCTTTGGTCCTCTCAGAGTATCATTCTTGCTAATTAAATCAAGTCATAAACATCAATCAGCCATGCCTGCGCTATTTCTCTTTTATCATTCTAATGAGCAAGCATGTGACACCAACATTTCATGGGTTAACAGTCTAATTAAATACATGTCCACACAATTTCTCTCTGCTTTCAAAACAAATTGTTTTTTTTTTAAGCTAAGAGTATAGTTGACCTCTGCAGGCTAATTACAGATTAAGGCCACTAATTAAAATAAGCAAACCAAAGTAATGAAAACAAAATTAAGCTCTAGCATTTTAAGAGTTGTAATAACACCAGGCAGTCCATAACACTAAGCCTGCCATTTGGCTTTCTATGATACGATGATTTGGAGGCAGAAGGTTTCAGGCATTGTCATTGTGCAGCCTTTTCTAAGTGCTAAGTCCAGCACATGTAACCTTTGTTGGAATTATACAAAGGCTTAAAAGACTGGCATGCCTTTGTCTCTTGTCTTTATACTTCTGGTGATGAATGGATGACGCCTGCATACTAAAACAGCGGTCATCCAGAGAGTGATATTAGAATCAGATTGGCTCAAAAGCCCTGCTTGACTAAAGGATATTTCAGGAGTGATTTTACCTGAAGAAATCTGATCTCTGACCTACTTTTTCAAATTTACATATTCATCTTCGCTGCAGGTGGGTGCCATTATTGGCTGGAACTCTCACTGCACAGTGTGACACAAAGGCATAAATATCACATCTAGGTGTCTAAGTCAGAGGGATGAATGAGAAGGAAACAACCGTGGAAAACCTCCGCCTGAGATAAAAAGCCACTGTTTGATTAATTAATGAAGCCACCTTGTTGTAGAATGAAGGTGTCCATTACCAACTACATACACATAGAATAATAATGAAAACCTGTTTATTTTTCAAGCTGGAAAATCAAAGATGTCTGACCTTGCTTTGTAGTTGAGGCGGAGAGAGCTGTCGGCTCTCACTTCTTGTTAGATGAGTGACACTACAGAGGTTGAGCATCATGTTGCAAGATGGGTTTTGGCAGTTTGCACAAACTTTAGTTACACATGGAAGGTACGTAGACAACCAACTGTCTTGTTTTGCTACATTTCATTTGCTCGTCACTGTTTTAGGTGCTTCATCTAAAGCCGTCTGGAACCATGGCAGATGTTCAGATCGTCTCTCCATCTCTCTAAGTAATAATAACAAAGCTGCCGCAAGTCAATTTGCAGGAAATAAATGTGTAAAGAAGACGGCCGATGCCATGTTAGCACCACAGATGTTTGAATTATTGATGCAGAGCAGGAAGATCCTGGCTTTTACTAGATATTTGTCTCTCTTCTAATTTATGTTTATGCAAATTGTTTTTTATATGAAGCCACTGATTATGTAACCGCCACATTTCTGAGAAAGTTAGAGCAGAATATTTACGGCATTGTCTTTGCACCCATTTTGAAGTGTAAATGGGTACCTCTTGACATACTATTTTTTACTTTTTTTCTGTGTGCTTTCATGCTGTTTGCTGAGAGAATCTGTATGATCTCATCCATTCCTTTCTCGGTGTAAAGCTCAGGTCTAGTACTGCGCTGGCGTCTCTCCCTCTTCCACATCACTTGTTTCTCTTCACGGCAAGGTTGCACTTGCTTTTCCGAGTGAAGCGATGCCCTGTATGCTTTTAAGTTTGCCAGCCATTTATACGCCTCCTTCCTCTTCCAGCAGCCTGCAGCTGTGAATCCAGCTCACATATTGACCATAGCGTGTTTATAAAAAGAAGAGCACCTCACCTTCTCTTCCGCTAGCAGTAATTGGCCAAACAAAACTGTGATCATTTTTTAGGAATTATGAGCATGCACATTAGACGTGCTTTAAGCAATTACAGCCAGTGCTGATGGAGTTCTGGACATAATTGAAATGCAGAGGCATACTGTGAATACTTCAAATTCTTTACAACACCTTGTCTTTTGTTTGCTCCAACCGTGCCTTTCCCTGGAAAGCACCCGGGCCTGTTTTGAATTCAATCCCTGCCCGGTTAGATACTCCCCCTACATGCCCCTCGCACGCCCCTGACAGAGTTGTTCAGGGGAGTCACAGCCATCTCTGATAAATAAGAGGTGTACTCGTGGCCAGGAGATACATCTTCATGACCCCCTGTATTAGAATTATTACAGTATGTCAAGTCATGATAAGAAAGTAAACAACTATTAGT